TGATCATATCACTCCTGTTCTGGCTTCTCTACACTGGTTACCTGAGGTTTTCAGGATTGATTTTAAGATTGCATTGATAGTTTTTAAATCACTGAATGGACTTGCACCGTCTTATATTTCAGAATTACTCACACCACATGCACCACTGTGACCTCTGAGATCATCAGATCAGTCAGTACTTATAGTACCCAGAGACTACAGACAGAGGGTTTCTGTTAGGGCTCCTGTTTTATGGAGTGCACTGTCACTTTATATCAGACAAGCTTCTTCATTGTCCTCTTTTAAATCTCTTTTTAAAACATTTTATTATGAGTTGGCTTTTAATTATGACCCTCGCAGGCGAAGCGTAAGCGAGAGTCATATTGTTTTCGTACTGTTTATTTTTTATTTACTTATTTTTTCAGTGATTTTTGGTCAACCGTAGCACAAAAACAGCTGCACCGATCAACATGAAATGAGTCAGGACTGTAGATGAGTCTGACCTACACTGCACCAGCCAACGGTTTGATGATAGACCCCATATTTGAGGAGGGGGCTCCTTTCAAAGAGGGGGTGTCAGGACATGCAAAAATGCTTATAACTCAGAAACTGTTCAACATAGGAGCTTCAGAGTCTTCAGATATTTTTTGTTGTTTAGCTCTGATTAGGGTGGGGCATAATCGTATCGTGTGCAATTAATTGTCAGAAAAACATTGATCGATTATAGCTCTGATGAAGCTCTATCCATCAGGCCCACCAATCAGTGGATGGTGAGGCGCATCAGATCCAGCGCTGCCCCCTTTGCATGTTTTATTTTTATTTTGTGCTATGTTTTTATGTGTTTTGTTCTTATTATGATGTAAAGCACTTTGTAACTGAGTTTTGAAAGGTGCTATCCAAATAAATAAATGTATAATTTGTTTACAAAAACTAGGGAAAAAAAATCTGAATGAAACAAAACCAAAAAAATCGTTAGCAGGATGAAGTGTATGTATGACATTAAATAAAAGACTGATTTAATGGTGAAAACTAGAAAAAAATCAACAGGATAAAGTGTGTGTGTGTGATTAAATAAAGTGACTCTTAAATGTGGGAATTGTAAAAAATGGTCATCAGGATGAAGTTTGTGTGCTGCTTGTGTTTTGTTGACATGCAGATGTGTGCCTTTGTTTTTGGTTATTGCATGATGATGCAAAGGTGTGGATAAAGTGTCACACTACCTGATAGTTCTGCAACAAAATGAGGCTGAGGTAGAACTCGGAAAAGGCCAGCTGCAGGTCTTGTATGTTTCTGTGTTTGCATCGCTCCTTCTGTGACAAGGCAAACACAGTCTTCCTCCTCCTGAGGCCCCGCCCACTGGCTGAGCTCTCCCTCTGGGCATCCAGCGAGGACTGAAGTTCGTTCTGCAGGGTGGCAAACCGCCGCTGGGCCTCAGCCAGCTTTTCTGCAGGTGATTGAGAAATAAGGTGGATTTAAAGAGAGAAGCACTGAAAAACATCCAGCTCAATTTGGTAGTGTGAGGTTGTAATTACCAGAATAAAAGGTGTTAATTTTGGCAAGTTCCTTTTCACATGTCTGGAAAAACTTCTCCTCAAACTTAGCATAGTACCTCTTGACTGTATCCTCATCCGTGACTGTGACAAGAGACAAAAAAAAATTTAAAAATCAGGAAAAGTTAGCTKGTTTAAGACCCTGTCACAGTAGTCCTGCAGTGCTGCCAGATCAGTTTGGACTTCTTTAAAACATGTAGGGCTGGAAAAAACAGCTTTGGGCAGATTGTTAACATTTGGGCTGCTTTTTTACCAGATTTGGCAGGTTTTTACATAGTATTCATAAGGAAATCATATCCAAGTATCAAGTATCACTACAAAATGGTATTTTGTTGTTGTTCATTTATTTAAGAAGGGAATGTGCATGTTACAGAAAATGCCAGAATTAGCCATGGAGGCTAGTTTTCATCTGTAGACCCTCATCTGTATTGGTTAATATCAACTGTAAACACACCCGAGGAGACTGGGTTAGATTCTGAGGACCTACCCCCTTCTTCAAATACTTGATTTGACTCAATTTTTTCTTATTTCAAGAATCTTACCAAGTAAATGTTCTTACTCCACTGGCAGAAATGTTTGACTTAATTTGAGTCAAATTTTCAGACTAACAAGACAAATAATCTTACACATTCTGAAAACAAGATGATTATTCTTACACAATCAGTTCTTGTTTAGTAAATCAGTCTCAAATCAAGATCAACAAGACTTTTTGGCTGATAAAATGTTTTAAAATTTGGTAAGATGGACAGGTTTTGCAGTGTAAACCTGAGAAGTTCACTCAGAATATGTTGTTCTTTAAGTCTGGGAGTGATCAGCTGCATGGGCTCTAAACAGCTCCTTTGTTTTTCCAGGATTGATTTGGAGGCGGTTCAGTTTTCACCGGTCCACAAAGTCCACAGCCAGTTCTCGGCACTCCTTGTCGTCACCATCACTGATGAGGCTGACTTCTGTGGAGTCATCTGAAAACCTTTGTAGGAAGCRGTTGGTGGAGTTGTATGAAAAGTCTGAAGTGTAGATGGTGAAGACAAATAGTGCCAGGACCTTTCCTTGTGGGACCCCTGTGCTGCAGATGATCCTGTCCGACACACAGTCCTGGTTGTGAGCTAGTCCAGAATCCACGACGCCAGGTGATGGTCCACACCGATAGACTACAGCTTGTCCCTGTTTGTGCAGCTTCCTCATTTGAAAGAAATGGATGCATCTATGCCAGAGGTAGGACTGCCACAAACGATTATTTTAATAATCGATTAATCACCGATTATTTATTTGATTAGTCGACTAATCGGATCATATGTTAATTGAATATAAAACATACAGCTTATCA